GGCTCCCAGCTTTCCCCGCGCCGCAGCGTGTCTTACTTTGCAAGCCACCCGGTGAGGGCAGAGCTTCCCGAAGCCCAGAGGGGGCTGAATGCGCCGGAGCAGTGTCACCACGTCCAAGTGTTTGATCCGTCCCCTAAAGAAGAAAACACAGTGAGGGTTGTATCCTTACCGCGGGGCGACCTGCTGATCCGCCTGCAGAGCGCAGATGCAGTTGGAAGTGTCACTGAGATCTTGCCAGCCCCACTCTGCCATTCCCTGTAGCCTGGACAGAGTTGAAGGGATTATTTCAGGCCTCTTGCATTTGGTGCGTTCCTCAGGATTTGCCCAGCATGCGTGTAACTTCTACTAGTACAAAAAACCCAGCTGTCAGACGTACACAAGTCAATACTTGCAAGAATTGACTTCGGTGTTTTGAATGCTGCCGTTCCTCAGTGCATGAATGGACAATTTTAGGTTGTCCTCCCATCGCTGACCTGCTCAAAATCTATGGCTGCTTGTTTAACTCTCAGTCTTAGGGCTACAGCAGGCACAGAGGTGCAAAGGGTCTCTTTTGTCCTGGTGCTTTACCTCCCATATAAATAGCCCCAAGACACTATCTTTTGATACTAGTTTTTGCTTTGGGCTGTCACTGGAGCCAGTGCAAAACAAAGTGTTGAATTTCCTCCACAGCAGCACTTGGGTTTCTTTTAAGTTCTGTAAATGGCATCTCAAAAGAAGAACTCTCTCATGGAGGGTGGAGAGCTACCAGAGCTGGAAGTGGGGCTTCAAGCATGGGACATGGATGGGGAAGAGGAAAAAAAAAGAGCTTCCCACTTGTAGAAGAGAAGGAACAGGACATCATCTGTACTGAGCAGCTATCTGTACTATAAAGGTTCAGCCACTGCAGTCTTGCCTTCAAACAAGCACGAATAGGAGCATCTGTTCTGTTAAACAGTATATTTATTAGAATTCTGTGCTTATCCCCTATCGATATCAAAACTCTCTTTGGACAGTCACCATGGACAGGAAAGAGGGTTTCAATTTACATATCACTCTGATAATGTGACATGGCCTCACATATTGCAGAACCTGAGCCCAAATTAATCTTGACACCATGTCTCCTAAAGAGATCTGCTTTTAGTTTACACTAAGAGCTCTTTCCACAGTTTTTGCATTATGAAGGGGGCTTTGCAATTACAATTGTCAACTGTACTGTAATGCCACAGGGATCTAAATGCACTTTAAGCCTAAGTATGTGTCAAACAGAGCATATAATACTGAATGTCAGTTAAGCCGTTGTGTGAGTTGTTCTTGTGTAACTTTAAATCCCTGCAAGTCTGCTGCTGTGGATAACCCCGCAGACAATGTAACGCAGCCATGTGAAAGTACAGGTTGTGATGGGCCTATATGACATACGACAAAATGGAGATTTGAGCACAGCAGCTCTACTATGAGTAGAAAGTCAAATAGAAGAGTCACAGCTCAATATTCCAAACACATGCAACAATAAACCAACTCTCTAGCCTCCTTTGCTCAATCTCCTGCTGCTCCTCCCTAAACTGAAAGTGAAGCAATGTCCTGGAAGGTAATAGTGCAGCCTAAATATTGAGATTTTTGTGTGTATCCTTGCACTGCTTGACTATGGATTCACCAGCAACACCTTGTGGAGGTATCTATTTTAGGATTTATTCAGAAAAAAAGTGTTCCTGCAGGAGGAACATGGAACTTACTGCCCTAGGTCTAGAGAATAGAAAACAATGGGCCTGTTCTCCCAAGGAGCTCTGATATCCCAGCTGGGTTACTTACTTGGCTTCAGGGTCATACTCTGCCCAGATCCTTTTAAACTCATCCAGGTGGTGTGGTCCTAAAATGGACCAGTCCCGTGTCAGGTAATCAAAGTTATCCATTATAACAGCTACAAAAAGATTGATGATCTGCAAACAAGGACAGAGATGATGTGAAGGATGAGGCAGGTAACAGTAGACTTTACCAGGTTTTCCATATAAGGTCTGGATTTGAACTCACAAAACCAGGAAGCCATTGAAGGTGGGTTCTCTGTCCCTCCAGACCCCAGTTTAAATGGGGGGATATTCTCACATGGTCACATTTTTCTCTTCCCTACTGAATGGATGAGGCCCACGTTTGCTGAACGCTTAGACATGCTGTGATGGCTTTTTGTTTACTTGTGTCTTTGCCCTGCAGAACAGGGTAGTGGTGGGAGAACCTGGGGTTTATCCTCTACAGGCAGTGGGGCTGAGATGAAAGTCCTTTCTTCTGGCCCGAGACCAAAACTTTAAAAATGTTGCTGCTGTTCACTGGGAGAGTTTTGTGCACTGATGCCAGCTGCAGAGCATGTGCTGTCGCTCTGAGCAATGCTGCATTGCCAACACGGAACAGATGCAAGTGGGATATGTGTATTCTCACAGTCATTGCTGCTGGCAGGGGAGGAAAAACCTGCTCAGCAGACAGAAGGAAGGTAGGAGGGAAGGTGGGAAGTGTGGCTGAGGCATTGCTAGCCTCAGCACAGCCCACAACACACTAATTTGGTTTTCTCATTGAGGGGGAAGGGGGAAGAGCACTCCTTTGCTGTGTACAAAGGATTGGGATTGGAAGCAGAGCACCCTCCAGAACTGGAGGGAAGCAAGAATGGCAGTGACCAAGGGGGTGTCACCACTGAAAGGGTGCTGCTGGGAAAGACCCCATTGGGAGATTTCTCCTCTTTGAGTCTTCTGCTGTGCAGTGCTGGTATCTGGGGAGGCAAGCACTCAGTCTGACAGAGGGCAGGTTTCAGTTGCTGGGTTAGACTCACCAGGAAGGCACAGAGCATGTAGAAGCTGATGAAATAGAAGACGGCGAAGCTGCTGCCACAGGAGTGCTCAGCTTCGGTGGAGTTGGCTGCCTCTGATTCTGGGTCGCACTTCTTGTCTGGGAGACATGCCAGCATGATTTCCTGCCAGGCTTCACCGGTGGCACACCTGGGCATGGCAAAGGGCAAGGGAAGACAGCAGTGACCTTTGATGTGAGAGGGACTGGAGCATTAGCAACCTGTTCCTGCTCCCATGGACATCAATGGGAATTTTGCCACTGAGGTCAATTAAGAGCAAGTTAAGCTGATGGTCAGGCTTTGACATACACTGGCATACCCTGCTCCTCTTTTTGGCTTTATTGCCATCATCAGCGTGTTGTTTCTGACTGACTTTTGCTAGTCTGGGTATGGGGCTGTCATGCTCCAACCAGCCAGAGTCATCGAGATGTGTGTGATACACCTGTGGATTGCGTGAAAAAACTCCTTGAAAACAAGGAGAAAGTGTTGAATTTCTGCTAACTCCCCACTCTTTGAGCACCCATCTCTGGCCTCAGCATACCTGGCCACAGCTGGAGCAGGATAATGTGCTAAGCTGAGCCAGGCATGACCACGCCAAAGCATGAGTGGGAGTTCATGTCCCTTTCCCTGCTAAAATAAGCTGGAAGTCATACTGGCTTGATTTGAAGGAAAGGAGGAGTTTGTGATGCATATGAACATTTGAGAGCACTGAAAACTGGCAAGCTTCCTTCTGAGTAGGAGGGTTTGCCTTCATCCCCAGCACTGAGTGTTGGCCAAGGTCAGCTGGCAGGGTACAAGGCTTACTGGACTGGTCGTTTCATCTGACATAGCTCCTAGGCTCCTTCACTAAGGGACAACATGTTTCTACTCACCTCGTGAGCGTGACAAGGTAGAAGGAGATAAGCTGTCCCCAAGAGCAGAGGAATCATGCATCCCAGACTGACACGTTCCAGAGCTGTTAGACACCCACCTGAAAAGCAGCAGCACTGCCTGAGGGAAGGTCTGGAAGTTGTTGTTGCGGTTGATTTCTGTGGTATCGTTCAGCGCAATTTTACCAAACACCTGGCAGAAAGCAGAAGTCTTTTCAGATTAGTCCTGCAAAACCCCCAAACCTCTTATCACTTGGAGCTCTTGGCCTCACCCTGACTGGGTTTTAACAGAATCTGCTCTTCTCTTAAAAAATAATTTTCACAGGTCTTTCATATTTACTGTTGCTTCCCTTGCTTGTAGTTTATCACCAGAAAAGCACTCATTTTGTAACATGAGGCATCTTTTGTTAAAACAAGACATACTTCCTTATTTCATACACTGTGAATACATGATATGGGGCCTTATTTTAACAGGCACTTGTATGGGCATGGGGTCCAGCTGAGAGAAATCAATAACACAGAAGAAAAGGCTCCTTCCTTCATTGCTTATCTGTCTTCACCAAGAGGAAATGATAGCAAAAGACCAACAGCTGCAAAGCCTTGAGCTTCCAACTCTGTGGGGTGCCTTGGATCCTCCCAAAACAATGTAAAGTATGTTGCTTTGGATCTAGAGATTGCCCAAACACCTGCCCTTGTCACCAGCAGATGTTAAAGGCACTCCCCACCCCCCGCCTCGGCCCCAAATGCAGCAGTGTGAAGATGATGACCAGATTTGCCCAGACAAGGATGGCTTACAGCTTCCTTCCGTGACCAGTTGTTGCTGCACTGACTGGTTCATCCACTCCCAGCACAAAGCCTGCAACATCAGCAAACCTTTTTAGGGGCCTGCCCTCAGATGTGAAATCCGAGTGCAGGAGAGTTTCAGGCTTCTTTAAAGAAGTCTTATATAGCTTTGTTACTTTTGGGCTCCAGGACTGAGAGGTTAACACACCTTGCTTGGCAGAGAGGTCTGCACAGCATGGTCAGCCAGGACTATTTATTCCCTTTCGATAGCAACGTGCCAGAGATCTCAAGGACTGAGCGCTGTAATCTCATAGCCAAAATGAGCAGCAGGAACAGAGCAGCTCTGAGAGAACATGGAGCTTCTTTTCAAGCAAATGTCACTGATAATTAACACCCCAAGAGAAACAACAACGTGGAGAGAAGCGCGGGGACAATGGCAGGGAGGCCATTGCCAGATGGGAGGGAGGGTTTGTATGTGGCAGGCTTTCCGCAGGGGGTTCCTCATGGATGTGTGGGCCTTCCCCAGCCCTGACCGCCCCCACGCTGCGGGTAACAGTGACAGCCCCAGCTGCACCGAGGAGGAGCAGGAGGAGAGTTTAAATGCTCAGAGGCAGTTTGAGCAGAGGCAGCCCATATTTTTCGTTTCAGGCAAGTGTAGGCAAGGGAACTTCCCATGCGGAAGTCTGATTTTCCTTTCAACCCTGCAGCTTCCCTCAAACATGAGGCACTAGCTAGTCCAGGTGCTGTGCATTAGGCACCTATGAGGAGCTGTAGGTAGGGATTCCTCTCTCATGGCCTCTCTATTCTGTGCCTCCTGGGCCATGATATGAGCAGCTTCATCCATCAGCATCAATTTGGATTTTTCCACTTGGGCACATTGGGTAGTGAGGCTTGAAAGTTGTTACACTCCAAGTCAGGGCAATAGCTGAGATAAAGTGGTAGAAAATTCTTATGTTTTAATCAGATCTGGTACATCTAGTCTTTCAAGGTAGATGCTTAATGGAGTGAGGAAGGATTTTCCATCCTATGTGTCCCTGCATGTGAGGGAACTCTGTGTGTCAGCAGGTTCAAGAGAGCAGCACACAAAATGTCTGAGATGCCATTTGGACAAAAAGTGATGATAACAGGTCTGTGGGCTCTAAGCAAAGAGGGAAGATGGGAGAAGTTGGTTTTCTCACTGGAAGACAGGAGGGCAGGAAACGATCTAGTAAACGAGATCAATGTGAAAGACAGATGTATGATCTTCAGGCTGCTGAGATTATTATAACAGAGGCTTGAATGAAAGCCAAGGACTAAATAGTCAACTTAGAACTAGTTGACAGAAAAGGGAATAAAATTACAGAATAAAATACCTAGCCCTGGCAGTGCCCTGATCTTTGTAGATCCCATCTGTGTGGGTGCTTGGAAGCCATTTTTAGTGTTTTGTGTAGCTACATAACACTAGTGTAATACTCTCAAGTGATTTTCCATATAGCACAGGTAATCCTGCAAGATCTTGAGCATTTGAACTAGTTAGATATTAAAGGCAACACAGGGAAGTTTACAGTATGAGCCTAGTAGACTAAATGACAGCTGTAATTACTGGGGGCAATTGAGGTAACCTATGATAATTCAAGAAAAGACTAGTTTTATTTTTCAAACTGGGGGAGGCTAGATGGAGTCTGTGAAAAGATGTGATTATAATCACAGGAAACAAATTAAAACAAGGTCACAGAGGTCAGATGCATTTTGTTACAAATTCTGTTAGCACTGTGAAACTAAGAAGCCTGTCATGTTTGAAGACCTCTGGAAGCAATTATGTCATGCCTTTCTATACTTTGGTCTCTGGTCCCAAGGTGGCTGTCTTGTCTGAGATCTTTGATTAACACCAAAGTGGAAAGTGAAGCTTAGTTTGAAAAGCACCACAGCAAATGAGGCTGAGACTGTCACAGACCATGCCTATATCACATACTTTCTTCAATGGTCTGTATGCAGCATCAGTTCCTTGCACAGATGAATGCTCAAGTCAGTTACAAGTTCATTTTGCAGACTGAATAGGATATTGTATTGATGCAACTTCCTCAAGAATTTGCACAAACACAGAGCTGTGGTACATTATGTCTGATCCTATATTTACCTTCATGGGTGTAAATCAAAAGCTGGTGTTTACAACTCAGTGGAAGTTACACCAGTGTGAAAGTGATGCAAGAGAGAAATTTGGGGTTGTTCAGTGCAGCACAGCCATAAGCCCACTGAAACAACTATTTTGAACCAGCAAGCAAGACAGAAAATCTCCCTTGCCACAGCTGCTGGGTATTCCTTTGAGAGTGTGAAGGGCAGGCACAGTCCTTTTACTGTTTGCATATTGCATTCTGCCATTAATTGGGTAATCTTTTTTTTTTTTTTTTTTTTTTCTGGAGTGCATTGTGCTTCTGTTGGAAGTGCATAGTCAGACAATGTTTTCCAACTAATGCTAGCTGTCATCTCACCTTACTGGGCAAAAACATTCTTGTAAGCCCCTACAACCACACATTGATCTAGTTATAAACTCACTTCCCAAAACTCTAACATGAGAAGACAGACACAGTTGAGCTCTTTAGCATCACTTACCTGCATCCCGATCACGGCGTAGATGAAGAACAACATCACTATTAAAAGAGCCACGTAGGGGAGAGCCTAGAAATGAAAAAAAAAAAAAAGAAAAAAAAAAGAAGAAAAAAAAAAAAGAAAGCACTGTCCACCGAGCCCGGTGCACTGGAGCCTGGTTAATGCTGGGCAGAGGCTGGCCCCAAACGTAGAGTTTGTAATTTGGCCAGATGGCCACTAGATGCCTCTACAGGCCCACATTTGCTTGCCCTCCCCGCCGCCAACCCTGCTGCCACCCAGCTCAAGCAGGCTCTGATTCTGCTCCCACTCGTGATGGTGTAGCTCTGCTGCCTTCAAATCAATCCTGCCCTTGACAGAGTGAGGAAAGCGAGGGCAAAAACAGTGTCCACAGCTTCTTACCAAGAGGAGAAAACTCTCACAACCAGTTATTATTCCAGCACTAATGGCAATGTGATTTTTTTTCTGGATCCAGTCTGGTGAAATAAAAAATGCAACAGCTGCTGAGATCTCAATTCAAGGCTTCTGCTACAATGGCTGGTACCATGCTGAGTACCTAGAGGAGCATCAGCTTTGTTCCTTGTTCAGTGTTAGGTGTCTGTGATGGTGTCTGCGATGGTGTCTGCAATGCACTAAGTGTCTGCGATCAGCTGCTGAAGAGGAAATGCAGAGCCCTGATATGCAGAGCTGCCTCATAAGGAAGAGGCCAGTGCAATCAGCAAAGTGTTGAGTGCTATCGGTTTCCTCTGCCACAAGCAGGAACCAAGGGCACAGCTCGGGACCTCACAGGCTCAGGCTTTTGTGGAGGAATTTTCTACTCTTTGTTTTTGAAGTATATAGTGCTCAGACCAGAGATTTCTAGACCTTACTCTAGAGGCAATGGGCAGACACATTTGTCCAGAAAATGTGAGTAGAGTCCCTGATCTGGATTTGGAACACCCCATTTCACAGAGTATAACAAGCCTGTAACAGTATTATTTTTTTTTAATTTAAGGTTATTTACACATTTTATGTTAATGCCTAAATCCAACAGGGCTAAATCCTACAGGAGGAATCGAGGAAAAATTTTCACTGACCACTATGGAGATTTGACTAAGATCTGCAGAAATGATCTCAAAGAGATCTGAATATCAAAATGGCAAAAAAATCAAACCTTTAAACAATGTCTGTAATCATTATCTTGAGGCTCAGGGCAGACTCCTCTGTGTTTTGTGGGGGCAGCCAAATCTGTGTAGTAACCCCACAATGTCAGTGGAGATACACCAGCTCATAACTGGGCTCCAAACATTTTGTGATGATCTAGTTGGGACTTGATACACACAAGACCTAAAAAGAGCTCCTGGGATAGCGTCCAGACATGACGCAAGGTACATAACCTTACCAGTTCTTCTCTCTTTCAAATGGGGTTGGGAAAAATGTCTTCTCTCCTGGCTGTCTGGCCCTCCACTTTCTTCCCATGTTCTTCCACTCAGCCCACTCCTCTCCACTGATGCACCTTCGTACTCATCTCTGCCCCTTATTCCCCATGGCTCCTTCAGCTCCCCAACTCCCATATTCCACTCTTCTGGCTCTGTCCTCCTCCGTCTCTGTCCCTCCCTGGCTTTAACCACTTCGTCCTTGTGATTCCCACGGCCTTGCCTTGCCCTCAGCACCCCTCTCACTTCCTACTCCTCCCACTCGCCAGCCTGGGCTCTGTTGCTATCTCTGCAGACGGAAACCCCTCTGAGCATTTTCCCACCACACACTCCTCTTGACCAGTGCCCCAACTTGTATGTAAGCACCGTGTGCCACGCATAGGGCACATAGTAGTTACAACGGGCTCTGAACTTGAGCACAAGTTCATTGCTTATTAGGCTGCTCTGTGTGAGCAGAGACACTTCCTGGAAGCATGTGGGGACATGGAGAAGAGCCCATGCCAGACAAAGTCTGCTGGGATCCCAGATTTTGTCAGTGGGAGTGGCTGAATTAAGAGCTCTGCACAGTGGCTATTCTTAGCTACAAAAAGAGCCTCCCAGTAGTTGCAAGAGATGCTCTAGGCAGAGAATACCATGTTATAAATGGCTAAAGGCTTTCAAGGGAAAAGACACTTGCTTGCAGTGTGGTGGGTTTTTTTTTCCTTCCCCTGCTGTGAAAGATACTTCCCTTGATACTTTCTCCCATCACTCTACAACCCTGCCTAAAAGTGACTCTCCAGTCAAAGAGGTCTGAAGGTCACTAGAGGGAAGTACCAGGCACTCCCTTTCCCATCCATCTCATCCTCTCCAGCCAAGAGCTGTGGCAAGCTAAGCTCAGGAAATGAGCTTAGTTTAGCTAAAGAGGCTGGAGGGGCACAGGGGCAAGGGGGGAGGAAGCAGGAGCTGGAAAGTGTGACTTGTCCCCTGCATCAGGAGTGGCTGGGATGTGCCAAGGGAATCTCATTCCTATGCATGCAGACAAAATGGTTCCCACTGGAGCTGCTCAAATAACAACCTGGAAGTTAGCAACCATGTAAGCAATGGAAAAAGTCACTTGTGGTACAGATGTGTGAGAAAACTGCTGTGCAATATTAGATCCCCTGGCAGTCGAGGAGCGCGCAAAATGAGAGTCCTTTGCATGAGCCTGGTGATCTGGCTACCGAGACCACCTGAGAGCTGCCTTGGAAAAGGTTCGGATTGATCCCTGGTGTACACATGTACTGCTTCTGCTGACAGAGACAGAAGTCATGGTGATCCACAGCACTGCAGGCTTTGGTCCCAGCTTCTGTTGTAGCTGGTGAGGTTTAAGTTTTAAATGGTGGCTCAGCTCCTTTCTGATTTGAGTCAAAACAAATACTACTGACCATTTAAATCCCCAGTCCGAGGGATATACATTTGCTGTTTCAGGACTTGTGTGTTGCACAAGTTACTCTTTCATGCTTTTGCCCAATGGTGTGTCCTGCATATTTTTCTTCGATTTAGACCACCATGTGCATTCCTGTGCTGTCTTTCCCTGATGCTTCCTCTGGACTTTCCCCAGCTAACATCCAGGTTGTGCTGGCCCCGTAAATTCAGGTCAAGCACTTGTAAAATACAGGCATATGCTATGCTTCATCCCTAACTACCATTTTTCTATGTGTGGCTAGGTTAAGGGCTGGTTTGGAAGCAGTTTTTCTAGCAAATAGCTATCTCTTGGTGCTTGTTTTCCCTCAGAGGTGATGATTCTTATCCAGTTTGGCCTCCTTCACCTTCCCCTATCTACTCTGGTACTTTACCTACCACTGAAATGCAACCTGCCTATAGGGCAAAACCGGCAGCAATTTAATAGCTTGGCATCATTACCAGGGACAAAGGTGTGGGGCCAAAAAGGTTAAATTATTCCTGGATGAAAGCATGGGGACCACACACCTCTAATATTCACTGGAAATCCTCAAAACAAGGCTTATGAGAAGATTAATTGAGACCCAGGCCTTCCCCATAGCTGCATATTTTGCTTAAAGCAACAGATAAAAAATACAGCTAAAACAGAAAAAAGAGAAAGAGGAGATTGAAGGGTTACAGATAGGTGGTAACTGACTTGAACTGAACTGTCAAGGCTGTTCAGGAAGGTCTCAAGCAATTACTCGTGCTTTAAAGATGAAACTCATATGCCTCTGTGAGATCCATTTACTTGACTCTCATTCGTGCCATGTGTCATTGGTGTGCACAGCTCTGACCAGCAACCTTTGAGATCAGGTATGTGGGTGAAACCCCTCCTTAAGGGGAAAAAAAAAAAAAAGTTAGGTCTTACTTAGAGATAAGTGAAAGAGTACCTGGAACGACTTGATGAAGGTCCAAAGCAGCGTCCGGATGCCCTCCCCTCGGCTCAGGAGCTTCACAAGACGCATCACACGGAAGAGTCGGAAGAAGGTGATTGAGATGCGAGAGTTTTCCTCTGCATTCTGGAAGCCATTGGCACAGAGGCAGGAGTTACAACAGCACGGGAGGAACAGGGGCACTGGGCCACAGAGGACGCTACGCCGAGAGCTCACTGCACTGTTCCTTGTCCTGGTACCACTCCCTGGGCTGGCACTGCCCCACCACTCTGGGGACAGGCCAAGGCTGGTCAAGCCTGCCCTCTCTCTCCCATGGTGGTGAGGCTACTCTATGAGGGCTCTCGAGGCCATCAGCCTCTCCCTTCAGGTTGTCTGGACTTTTGGGGATTAGGGATATGTCATGCTATAAGCTCCTCCATTATATCTCCTTCCCACACTGGAAAGATGCAATTCTCCTTTGACATTGTGCTGGAGGAGAAAGAAACTGTCTTTTGACCTGTCTCGAGTGTTTTACCCCAGCAAGCACCTCAGCCAGTGTCTCTGGTGAATCTGGTGCCAGACATCTGCCACATGCCCCTTGCTCTGCTGAGAAACAGCAGCAGGTCCCAGGCCTGCTCTGCCCCTGCCCCATTGCTGGCATCACCAGCACTGCTGGCAGCCCCGCTGTCCCTGCCCTGCTGTGGCCATGCTGCTGGGGGCTGGGCCATGGTCACTCACTCCCGCTGCCCTGCGTTCAGGCCTTTCACATTTCCCACGACCCCTTTGTATTTCCCACAGTCTGCGCACTGACTTCTGTTTTTTAAAAACATTTTATTTTGGCTTTGCTGCTACTGTTCAAGCGTGTAGTATTTTAAAATAGTCTTTCTTCTGGCCTGTTTTTTTTTTTTTGGTTTTTTTTTGTTTTTTTTTTCCTTTTCTTCCTTTTCCTCACAGCATCTGCTTTGTTCCTAAGCAATTTCCCCTGGGCCTGTAACCAGCTCTGACGTTCCTCAGCCTTCACACGGGTGACGGCAATGTCCCTCTGAGCGCTGCTGCGGCAGCATGCTCACCTGGGCCTCGTCGGAGGACCTGCTGCCTTCCTCAAGGGGAGGCGAGGCACAGAAAATGCCATGTTTCCCACTTCCTTAACCCACTAAAATAGTGTGGGAAGCCTGCGGAGCTGGTGGCTTCCACTAGCAGCAGGACTGTGGGACTGTGACCTCCTGTTGCAGAGGGAGATAATGCTGTCACCCTGACACTTGACCTGCTGTGGAGCAAAGAAGTGCACAGAAACCTCCTCTGTCCCCACCCAGGCTGCAAAGACCACAGTTTGAGTCTGAACACCACCGAAAGAGCAACATTTAGGAGGAAGAAACAGTGCAGATCACCCCTGCTGTTAACTACTCACCACTGTGTAAACCAAGAGAGAACAGACCTTTTGGATTTCCCGTCACCGGGCAGCGAAAATGGCAGCTGCTTGTCTGTCTGCTCCTGATAAAACCCAAGGCATAGGAACTGCCTGGACATATGTTTCTGGGATTATATGTCCAGATGAGGACGTGTACCTGTGAGCTGTGTGTGCTCCTGTTTCCAACCCAGGATCAGCAGATTGGTGCTCAGCTGTTGGCCGCCGGCTGGGTCCGTGGGCCAGCTCGTGGTGTAGAGCCATGGGGGCATACGGGGGCCATAGCTGCTTGCTAGTGTGTGAGCCCCGCTTGCACAGAAAGCACAGCACCATGTGCAATAGTTCAGGATTGCACCCCAGCTGCGGTTTGTCTGTCTATCTGCGGTGAATCACCAGTGAATATTTTGGGTAGCTTTCTCCAGTCTGCAGCAAAGGATGGCACTCACTGTCACCGGGTGAAAAAGATTAGGGGAGCAGGCTGTGTTAAGGAAAAGCCTGAGTGCTCCCTGCATCTCACATCATTCTCATTTTCTGACTTGGATAACAGGCTGGGGACTTCAGTGAATCAGAGTTTTTGCTCTGAGGTGAAGGAGGGAATGCAGCCTCCAAGAAACCAAAAATCATGGCATTCAATAGTCTCAGCACTACAGTCCCCGAAGGCTAACTGTAAGGTCACACACCTCTCCCAGTCCTACAGAAGTCCTAGGGCCTCCCTTCCACTTTCTTTAAGCAGCTAAATTCCAATACCACCTAAAAGAGAGCTGAGGCCCAAATTTAAAAGTTGGGTGGTCAGCGGTACTGCTGTGGTTGTGACCTCCCCCCAAAAAATTGTTTTCATATTCTACATGCTGCTGCTCTTGTCAGCTTGGCCCTTTGGATGGCAGCAAGCTGGGACATGGGTCTGGACACAGGTTTTAGCATTCCTTTGTCTTTCCTTGCTGAGAGGAGGCAGCTGCTGTAGGCAGAAAGTTATGCCTATCCTCCTAGGGTCCTGGAGTAGGCAAAGTCTGAGCAGTGGATGAAATAGAAGCAATTCCCCCCGACAGAAATCTGCAATCTACTGGCATCAAACCACTTAGCCAAAAAAACTCTGTGATGTTATGGGAGATGACGGCTATTTTACAACTAGGTGGCTACAGATTAGCTGGTGCTTGCTTTCTCCTGGCTTTCATCCAGCTTTTAAAGGCGTATCCTTGCCAGAGGAGGGAGGTTCTGCAAAGTGGCAATCAAGAGACTGGAATTAATGGAACTCTGCTGGAGTGGTGTGGGAACTGCCTTAGGACACCAAGGCAGCAGAGTTTGTGTGTGCCATTGCATGACTTACTCTTTTTTGTGCAAAGTACAAACTCAAATGTTACAGTGAATCAACTCATTGAAGAGGAACTTCAGAGTCCCAATCCTTTGTAGCCTGGAGGCTTGGACATGAAGTCACATTGCAAACTCATTCAGTGTCACATTGACAGTGACATAGTTTGTTGCTAACAAGAAATCTTGCCAGGTCTAGCTTCTCTCTTGGTGATTCATTAGAAGGCAGAACGACAGTTAACTTGACCAAAGGAAAGCTCAGGATGCACAAGAGATATACACATGTGCAGCATATTCACAGCTCATGTGAACACCAGACTCACACCAATACACGACATGGCAGCTTCATGCACAAATAACTAGGCTGGGCTTGGAGAGAGAACTCGTGATCACGGGGAAGAGAGTAAAGGAGTGTGTTAGAGAGAGTGTTACAAAAGCTGGGAGGGTGGTCTGTATTTTCGGTCTTACCATAGAGGAAGAGCATTGGGTATGTTCAGCTGGCTTTAAAGAAAGGCAGACAGAAATAACCTGTAATAATTCTCCAATCAAGAGCCCTAGTAAACTAGGTCTTGGCTAACACAGGAGCAACAAAATGGCAGGAAAGGGCAAAAGGGAGTTTGAAAGAAATGCACAAGAGGCTGGGCTTATTCCCTACAATGCCTAGGATCAAAGCTGGCCATGGCAGAAGTAGGTACAACTCTCGTTGAATTTGATGTAAGCTGTATCCACTACCACCACATGTGAATTGCACCCAGTATCTTCTGAGTGCTATACATCCTGGAATCCAGGCAGTAGAGGTACTGATATTGTTACAATGTTTTTTGTATCACTGCTACCAAGTTCAGTACAGGGGCTGATTTAGCTCCCCAACTCGGATCTGGGCCATGTCTGAACAGGGACCAGCCAGCTTCTAGTGCATCAGTCTGGTTTGTAAACCCATAATATCCCAGTGCTAAAGCAACACTTTCTATTTATATATCCCTATTCCCTTACAAATGGTTCTGGGTGCTAACATTGTTGTTACTAAGACAACGGGCTGGGACAGAGTAATCAGCTCTTGTCAACCTTACAATACCCACCACCAGCTGTGGAAGCTGCATTGGTAAAGATGCTTATCTTGGTCTACCTCCACTCACCTCACAGCAAATCTCCAAGGACCCTTGGAGGCCAGGCTGAGCTGAGTTGAGCCTCGGTCATGCCTGTAAGGGTCTAGTTGCTGCAAACACTCTGCCTGACATGCCTTGATTAACTTCTGGGGCCACTTCCAATACTGAGAGCAGTTCTAAAAAACACCCAAGGCCACAAACACCCTTAGGTGTAAGCAGCAGAATTTACAATTAAGTAAAATCTAGCTTTATCAGGAGTCCTTCAGTTCAATAGTAACATAATCCTTCAGGCCTAACCTCTGCCATATACCCCCTACGCCAAACTTGTCTGTCATTACTTCCCGTGACTACGTTAGCAAAGCTGAATTTCTTCTTCATCTCCAGTGCCCTGGAGGACTCCTGCAGTGTGCCTCTGCTCTCCAAGGACACTGCAGTAACCAAACCAGCATTACCTAAATAAAAACTGCATTTTGGATGCACAGCCTTTTTGGTGATAGAGGCAAATGAGAACAATTGAAAACACAAGGTACACCTAATCATAAAATAGTCTTCTGGGTTAACTCATTGGCTTGGTAATGTCAGCTTTCATTGCTTTTATTCTCGTCTTTCACATGTTTGCTCTTGTGTTTTCTGTTCAGATCACATACAGGCAAAAGCTGACTGGCATACCAAATAAAGGAGCGGTGCCCATAGAGACATTTCTTACAGATCAGGCATAGATTTTGATTTTGAGTTGCTGGGCGAAGTGAGGAATAAGGGAGGACCCTTATTCTGCTAGTTGCTGCATTCCTGGCAGAAGGTACAAAGCCCCTTCAAACTAACTGAAGAAAGCCCAGAAATTTTCAGCACCTTTCAGGATTCTCCACCCTTCCTGGCTGGCGGTGTTGGTGCATCTAGGACTGACTGTCTGAAGAAGTCTTTTAAGTTACTGTGGAACATTATACCTTGCTTGTCATTCTGAAATAATTAGTATTTAATCAGAAAGTGTGGATAATAGTAAAATAACAGTAAAAAAAAATCTGTATAAAAGGATAGGACTGTATAAGGAGTTAAGATGGCACAGTTGATATGGGATACTCAACTCAGAGGAGTTGGCAACATGTTGAAAAACTAGAAATCTAAGGTTCCGAGTATCTTTGGCACTGCTAAGAAAGTGAAGTAGAGGTTGACTTACTCCTCTCTTATTCCCTGAGCTAACTGACCTATGTTTTAAGATGGGGTCAAATATGAAGCAATTATTTCACTATCTACAGTGAAGGCTTAAAAGCAGCATGGGAAAGTTTCTGTTAATGCTGGCAGGTGGTATTAGTACACACTGTTGCACAGTGGGCTGAGGTTCCTGATATGCTTGTGCATACAGTATTTTGTGCATGAGTATATGAGGGGGGAAATCAACCCTCAGCTGTGGGTTGTTGAATACATTTTCTGATATCCACAAAGGTTTCAGAGAGGAGCCGAATCTAACCATTTTCCACCTGTGCTAAAAAGGTACCGTATGGACCTGAGCACAGATATCTGAGGACCCGTTACTGGGACTTTCAGTGTGGCCATTCCTAACTATAAAGCCAAGAGAGCTATTGCTAGATTTTCTGAGAATCTTCAACTTTGCAAGTGATGTAGATATGCCAGTTTTAGGACGAGGAGAGGCACCCTGCACCTGAGAACGTAGTAGTCATGTCAGTTCACAGGGCTGGAGGCACGGTGATAAGTACCTAGAACTAAAGCCAGTATCTAATGCCCATATGAATTGGACAGGATTTCATTTCTACAAATCTCAGAACAATTTGCAAAAGCAAATCCTCATCTGTTTAATGTCTCTGAAAGAGCTTTTGAAGAAGCTACACCACTTAACAGAAGGAGGCCTTGGCTGTACTCTGTGGTCTAACCTGCAAAGGAACTCCCAGTATTCTACTCTGCTCTTGTCATTTGGGGCACAAGTAGCATGCACATAACTGAATGAGAAAGGGCAACAACAGTCACAGTGAGATCAGTCAAGAGATGATGCTTTGCACAATTTCAATCATAGAGAAAACGGACCTGAAGTATAAATCACAAACAAGTCCAGGGATGTATTAAGAGCAATGTAGAAGGGAACCTGCAGGCTAATAGTGGGAACAGAAATATCTGAGGCAGGATGCATCCATGTAAAGGCACTCAACAGGGATGAGTGCAATGAAACTGCTTGGGCCATTTTTTTTTTTTTTCCTCTTGATGTCACCATATTAAAAAAGGTAATAGAGATGCTAAGGAGCAGAAGAGGTCAAGAAACAGAAAAGCAGGTTCTAGAAGTCAAAGTAAAGATTCAGTAGGATAAAGACTGAGGGATCCCTGAAGCATGTCTGAAAAGCTTCTCAGAATATTGTTGCCTGCATATATCTCATTTGGACTAATGTACAATGTTACCAGAGCACCTACATTTTCAATAGACACATGGCTCAAGCTGTTGCTAACCTGTGTGTGTCTTCAAAGCCCCTACAGGCACAACTTATGCCCATCATGAATTCAGGATCCCAAGCAAGGAAGTCTCTGGGAAAAAAAGACAGTGTTGTTCAATGGAGAGACACTTAAAATCTCAGAGACCATAGTACTAAACAAGGTAACTGGTAGTACTGTGTTCCTGCTAACTGCTCCACCTGCATAGGTGGGACTCAGGCTTACTGGCAGCTATTTGCAAAGAACATACCACCTCCAGGAGGGTACAGGGAGCATCAGAGTGTCCTGAACCTCCATACTGACTCACATATCAAAGCTGGTGTCTGATCTTGCCATCGAGTCAAGGAAATAGTTTTTAACAGGTTGTGTTTACAGTTTTCCAAATCCTGATCATACCGTGAATGCTTTGGAAGCTAGGAGAGGATAAAATTTGCACTCCAGGAGAACCACTTTCAATGTTTCAAGTGCAATACATAACAGTCAATATCATACAATGTTTATGCTATAATGTAATCCATTCCAAAATTCTGAGAAGAGATGACTTGGGTCTTCAGAGCTGTAAAGGCAGGAGCAAAATTATGAGCAAAAAGACTGAAGACTTTGTACCGTCATGGTAGTATCAAAGTCCCTTGAAATATACGTGGCTTAGAATACCTTCTGGATAGATAAAGATTTGGTAAAACACAATAAGTTGTTAATAAACAGATCCAAATTAAAGTTTCAGTAGAAAAATCCTGACAAGAGACATCAATCCCACCTCATCCCTGTGGAACCTTGGAGACAGAGGACCATGTTGAGAGGTTTGAGTTCCCTGGGGTTTTTGGCTGGTTTGCTGACAACTATAATGGCTATCCAGAGAAGCAGCACCTAGAAACGTTTGAAGGGGAGTGCCATTAGGTTTGTACAGCATATATTTTATCAATACATCCAAGGAGGCCCCTTGGCTGCTGGGTAAATATGTTTCAGTAGTTGTAGAAGCCTGACTGCCACTGAGATGATGGTACAGGCAGGCAGCACTCCCATTACCAGCACTGTTGATAGTAGTAATTTTTTACATGACAGAACACACTGGAGAGGATGAGTTCAGCTCCTTCAGAGGATCCATTCTTTGCTAGGAAGTCCAAACTGATTTTTTCCTGATGTCTGAGGAGTAAAAATTCCTTGCTGATAGTTTTTTTTTTTAACTTTCTCTCAAGACTTCGCCCATTTGTAGGGAGAAATCTCTTTTTGTAATGTAGAATCCAACCTTTATGTTGTGGAGAACTTTGGCCTGTCTTGATCTGGAGAACATTTAGGCAGTGGAATGCACAACAATGTTATTGTTGCTTTGTTAGTCAGAGTTGTCTCAGTCAATGCGGTGGTACAATGACAGCCTTCTAATTTTGCCTGGTAGCTCTAGGTTTGAAAAGAGAGGAAATCTGTGTCTGAGACTTTGGCACTGTGATATCACAGAGTATCTTAATATTTCTCAAGAAAACATGTGTTCAGATGCTTATATTGCCTTTTGTGACAAACAATCTATAATGGCATTTCTTCATTCAAAATATGGCTTGTCAATGAAGGTCTTAGGAGACCATGTGCTGTAGTTGGTTGTTGATGACAGATACCAGCTAAGATGTTTCCTTGATTGCTGTTGACATTTGGAGAATGAAAAGTTGCCCGTGAAGATGCCATATCTGTTGGAAATTTGTCCATTGGTCTGTTAGCCTTCTCCCATGAGGAAGGGGGTGATGTTCACTTGCTTTTTCTGTTCATTGCAGGAAGGATGCCTCTGAGAATCCGCACTTTAGAGTTCGCCTGAGAAGGCTGCAGTGCTGCGTAGCTCCTTTGCAGTTCTAGGATACTGGTCTCTTTAGCTCAAGTTCCTTGTAGCTAGAGGTCCTCCAAGAGTCCTGCCTACTTAAGCCATACTGTATCTCTGACCTTCTTGGACATGAAATGAAGGGCGGAAAGAGACATTTC